TAATTAATTATATATATATATATATATATATATATATATATATATATATATCATATTTTTATATTCTCTTTTACAATAAGATAGTTGAGTTTTGATAATTGAGTTTTTGACTTTTTCTTCAATAATGTTATTTATCAATTAATGTCTCGCGCGTAGCGGAACGTTTGTAGGAAGCTTACGTTTCGTGGACGCATCGAATTTTATATACATTCATAAAGCCTCACTTCCACACTTGGCTCTGCCACATTCGCGGGGCTGGCACATGCATTTCTATATGTATATATACCTTACCCGTTTTCGACTTGTCTCTTTAATTTTTTTTTAATCACTTCATCTATCCCTGCGTCATAACGCACGCATTCACTTATCTCCTAAGTAAGATTGATTATTTAGTTTACCTCACCGTACCAGAATGTCACATATAATCACCACAAATGCAAATATTTCGCAATAAAAGTCTTTGTTCTTTCAACTATATAGCCACAGGTGTGTGGCGCGTCTCGGCTCAGTGGCATCACCTCGCAATGTATCTGGCGAGAAGGGCTCCGAGGAAAACGATGTAGAGAAGAGACATTGGCACCCGAAGTGCCCACGTGGTCCCCGACGAAACGTCGCCACATTGAGCTAAAACATAATCAGTATTTTCCTTAATAAAACATGAAAAAAGAGAGAGAAATCTGGAACATCGAAAAGAATTCAATAATTAGTTATATCAATAACTGGAATAACTGGATCAATAATTAATTACATAACTTCATTAAAAATTAAGAAAACTCAGTAAACACACTAACAATGAGAAAAAAATGTTGAAGTGCAAAATAAATGTTATCGACGTTTTCTTTGATACATTTTCGACAAAATATATATTTCTGTGAAATCCCTGTGTATATCACATTAATTGTAAAAAAATAAAATAGATGGCTTATTTGCGAGGAATAAAATTTTATTTCGCCGTATTTTTAAATACAAGTTTATTTCATGTGAAATAAATATATTTCTCACAAATAAATTTTTAAGTATCTTTTTCTCAGTGTAAAGATATGTATTTTTAAACTCCTCAATTTCATCAAATTGAAAAGAACTTTTCTTGTCAGATGTGGACGCGAAATCGCAGTATTATTTAATTGATAAAAGAAAAAAACGAGACAAATTACTGTACATTGGAAAAAAATTTACTAAATCTTAATACATATTTCTTTGAATAGTACTAACTATAATAATACTAACATTTACTTAATAAAAGAGATAGTTAATTAATATTTTT